TGTGTCACAGCTGTGTCCTGGTAAGTATGATTTTTGTAGCTTTTTTGTAAATTATTTAAAGTGCTGTAAAAACTATTTTTGGAAACTATAGTTGTTTGATTTTGTAGGGCGTCCCTCACTGCGGTTTCTATTTGGTTTGCAAACACTTGGTTCTGCCCGTCACTGCCAGGTTTAAAGGGACTCCGAGACTGGTCCTTTGGGGTGATGGCTGCTGGAACCGTCCAGCTGTGCCTGCGCTGCAGGCCCGAGGAGGCAGCAGTGACGCCCTCCTGGAGCAGCACCAGAGCCCCTCGAGGTCTCGCTTGGGACGATGCTTATTACATAAGGGACCCCGGGCCCGGGAGGCCAGAGCACGTCCCCGGAACACTGTGGTCACAGCCTTTGATCGGAAAAACACGGCAGGGCACAAAGACCAGCGAGCACACTGGCCGCCCTGTTGCACGTGGAAGCCCCAGGGGGCAGCTCGCACAGGCCACCAGTCCCCACTGAAGCCCCCTGCTGCCCCGTGCCCAGTCCTGTTTGGTGACCGCAGGATTCTAACGGCCCCATGACCTTTTCACACGGGAGCTGCTGCTGTTCGTGTTCAGTCCAGGCCTAAACGGCTGCAGGGAGCCCGTTCGTGTCCTGATCTGTGCACGTGAATGGGTCCTCCTGCACCTGCCCAGGCACCTGGAGCACCCAGGACAGAGCCCATGTTGGCCGGGGGCGGCCGGGTGGGCGCTGCGCCTCAGCCGGCTCTGGGGGCCGCCCTGCCGTGGCAGGGGCGAGGCGGGCCGCGTCCTGCGCTGTGGCCTGGCTACTCCGACAAGCGTGGCGTCCTGTGCCGTCATCTCTGCCGCGGTGCCCATGGCTGCTACAGAGACAGGCACGGCCACGTCCCGTGGGCTGGGCGCCGACGGGGCATGACGTTCACGCATCATCCAGCAGACCATCGGTTGCCCCGTGTTTTACGGCTCACCATTGCGGCTTGGCTGTGATGGCCCCCGGCGGGGTTCACTTGGCAGCTGAGTGTAGTGGGTAGTCTAACGTACAGGTGAATTTTCTGCACGTCGTGCACCCCGGTGTGGGGGGTGATCCACTTCTGTACCCAAACACGGACACGCGCCGGCACCCACAGTCAGCGTCTGCTGGGCCAGGTGCTGTGACGAGCGAGCCCACAGACGCCGTGACTGTCCGGTGCCTGCATGATGTGCTTCTCAGCCTTCTGTTGTCCGACGTTCATTCACTTAGTGTTTCCGGGGAGCCGTTCATGTAATCCATGCTGTGCGTCCTATTTAATTTTTAAGGAGTGTGTTTAATACTCGGAAGCAAACATCAGCTTGTTTTGTACTTAAGAACCATTTTTAAGGTTAATAAATGAAGCGCTGCTCCTGAATCAGTGTATGGGCTTTGTGCTCTGCGGGGCGGCCTTTGCAGGATGTGGGCCTGAGACCCCGTCGTCTGAGACCTGAAGTGTCCCCACCGGTGCCATCAGCGCATTCAGCCCTGAGCATCTCGCTGCTGCCCCACCCGCCCCAGCCTCCCCCAGACCCCAACCTTTCACACTTGCCCCTCTTCCTGCCTCGCGAGTTCCCTCCCGCTCTGCGACACTAAGCCCTGTTCCGTGCGTGCGCCGCGTTACTTACACGCCTGGACTGTGCTGGTTCATCCCTGCGACTGTCAACAAGCCACGTTGTATGAAAACGTCACCCCACTCCCTGAGTTGACGCAGGCGCATGCCGCCGAGGTCAGGGGCTCCCCTGCACCCTGTCTGGAAAGGGGGCTGCAGTGGGGGCAGGTGGGCGCGCTATCAAGAAGTGATGGCTGGCTGTACTGTGTGCAGCCTCTGTCCCACACCCCCGCTGGCCCGGATGGCAGTGTCACGGGCCAAGTGCACACCCACCTGTGGAAGGGGCCAGAGAGCAATGTGTTACCATGTCCAGCTGTAGTGGTGAAGGCCTGCAGACCAGTGACACCCAAAGAGCCACTCTCATCTCCCAGGAAGTGACACCCAAAGAGCCACTCTCATCTCCCAGGAAGTGGGGGACAGGTGCGGGGGGCTCTGTGCCCAGGGCCAGGCTTACTCATTCAGTACAAGGAATGGGGAGAGGCCTGATTCTAAGGTGTCATGCTCTGGGGTATGTCATCAGGGTCACAGTGTCGGGTCAGGGGCTGCGGGAACAGGAGTCGGAGTGGGGAGAGGTAGAACGTGCTGGCCGTTGGTGTTGGGTGCTCCCACCCAGGTCCTCAGATAGAGGGTCTTCCATAGAGGAGCATTACACTGTCGCTCAGACTGAGGTCAGGTGGCAGGTTTTCCCGGCCTGAGATGCTCGCACTGGGAGCCAGGCACTGAATGGAAATACCAGCACCTTCTCGGCACAAGTAAAAATGTGAAGTGTTGTCACCGTGTCCCTTCTCCCTCGAAATTAATCTGAGGGCCTCTGTGGAGGGCGAGAGGAAGTAGCATAAATCCCACCATCCGTGCCCACATCCAGCCCTGGGGGGTGGGGGGGGGGCGGGGAAGGCCAGAGCAAAGTACATTATTTCCAGAATCTTTGAGACTTCTGCTATTTTGTGTGCTGGACGTAGAGTTTCAGTGTTGAAATATTTTATTATATCTTTGAAACGTCTTAACTCTGATTGACTATAATTGAAATATTAAAAGTTACTGGAGAAAAATATACAAAACCTAAGTGGAACTATAGGGTGTAAGAAGCTGCTGCTTTTAAGCCAGCCCGGTAGCTGAAGTCAGTCGTTTGGTAGAGTTTGGTGAAACTTCGTTCTTCAGTGTCTCCTTTCGGGGTGGAGTAGCTGTGAACTTTGAATATTTTGTGGAAGGAAGTTAACTGGCTTTTGTAGCCCAAAATGTTTTGGTCGTCTTTTCTGTGATTGTTGAGATTGGCTTGAAGATTTTGAAAAAAACAGCGCAAAGGCCAGAGAGCAATGGGAGGTCATTTCCTTCCGTGTCTCCACCAGCCACCCGCTCTGTGGCCACCACCGCAAACAGCACGTTCTCGTAGCATCGGGCGAGACCTGTAGGTCTAAACTTTTTTTTTTTCCCCAGCTCCGTACGCAAAGATTGCAGTCTGGATATATGTTAAAAAAAAATAAAGGTCACGATATTTATAATCACCGGATTTCTTGTATGGTTTGTGCAAATATGTAGAAAGTCAGGGCCCGGAAGTGGGGTCTGCAGCTGGTGACCTCGCCTGCCCAGGACGTTCCCCAAGGCGGTTCAAGCCCAGGGCCTCCTGTGGGCCCTCTCCTCTGGATTCTGATTTTCCCATCCAGAAACGGAGGTGCAGAAGTAACTCCTCCAAGTGTGCCTGCCGGAGGAGGTGACAGTGTGCAAGGCTTTTGAAAAGCACATGACAGGCTAACAAATGGAGAAGGACACTCACAGGGCCCAGCGTCAGGAGGGGGGTACCCGGAGCTTGAGCTGGGGACCGTGACTGAGTTTTGGGAAGACGGACACGTAAACCAAAGGTGTCCGTTTTCCAACTTTCCAGACACGTAATAAACGTAAAAAGTCTAACTTTATCTTAACTCACTAGCGCTGTCACAGAAATGTCAGTTTTCATGGCTACGACCAATGAAAGCACTCGGCGCCCGATTAAGATGCCAGTGTGCACTTTGGGACACGGCTACTGAGCTCAGCTTTTTGGGTTGGGTTTTTTTGTTTGTTTGTTTTGTTTTTTTTAGGGAAACAATAAAGTCCAACTCATCGATCTTTAAGAAATCCTGCCTCCCCAAGGTCATGAACGCATTTCCTAGGCTTTCTTCTAGCAACTTCATTGCTACACTTTACTTTCCATACTCGTGTATGGCTCAGCTGGCATCTCCTGTCGCCATCAGCTCCTCCATGGTGCTCGCCGCAGGCCCCGAGACCGCCCTCCACTGAGAACTGTGGGTTTTGTCCCAGTTAAGCGGTCTCCCCTCTGCGCTTGACTTGGGGGACGCCGCCTTGTGGCCTGAGCACAGACCCTCACCAGGGCCAAGACGGGAGGAAGAAAAACCCGTGCTGCTGGCTTTCTCCGCCCTGGAGCAGGCGGGCATCTATCCATCCATCCATCCATCCATCCATCCGCCGTGGCAGGTTCGGGGGCTGGTTGGGCAGTCTCATTCCAACAGACACGGAATGCAGAAGAGGTCTTAGTATTTCGGTGTTTCTAACGCAGGGTTGTAAAACCTAGTTTTCGGTTTGATGCCTGTAGCCTCTGCTGGTTTCCCAGCTCGAGAGGAGGATGTCACACCCATCCCGGCTCCAGGCTCAGCCTCGGCTTTGTATCTTTCTATTAAATATGTTGACTTTCTCTGCAAAGCATTTTCATTCCGAATTGGACACTAAGAATGTTGCCAAATGTTTACTTTGTGTATCAGTAATAAAACGTTTTTAATGAAGAAGCAACCAGTTGGTGTTTAGTTTCTTCCCTAACTCACACCCGAGTAAAATCTCATTTGGGTGAATGTCTGGAAACAGGATATCACCGGTGGTAGCGACATGGTTTCCTCTGTCTAGTTCCCCAAGCGAGACTCTGTCTGGAAGAGAGAGACTGTCACAGGGAACTTTATTGAGGACCCTCCGACTCATAGTGAACCTTGATTGAGAACTAGGTACACAGAGAGAAAAATCTACTTAATACAGCTGTTACTCCCACCTGAGAAAAATGTTCTCCGCTTTTTTTTTAACTTTTTGTTGAAAGTTTAAAAGGAACACGGAGGCGAAACTCCCAGGTGGGCCTCGTTCCCTCTCACGGGACCTGCACTTGCCGGCCTCACTTCATCTACGCGCGTCGGTCCGGCCCTGACTCGCGGCTGGAGGATGAGCCCGTCCTCCGCCCAGGGAGGACGTCGCCCTCCTGCCTGCCCCTGGCCAGAGGTCTCCGGCCGGGCCCCGCCCACGCCCCAGTAGGCCCCGCCCCCGGCCAGGCCCCGCCCTCCGCGACCTGGCCGCGTTTGTGCAGATTTCGGCCACGAAGCTTTAGAACAGGAAACCTGCCCCGTAACTGTCGCGCGTACAAACGAGGCTCCCAAATAAAGACGCAGGGGGACAGCGGCATTCAGGACAACATTTGGGGCCCGGAATTCGCCCACTGGCCTTTTCTTGCTTACCGGTGAGTCAGGAATTTAGAACGTGGCAACGTTTTTAATGTAAAATCAAAGCATTAGCATATTTTCAGTCTTAGACATATAAGATGAGAAAGTGGGACCTTACAGCTCTATTTGCACGTTTTTCTAAGGAGAGGAAAACATTAGAGCAAGCAGTGAATTCCGTACCTTCACATTTGGGAAAATTAGCAAAGCTTAGGGATGCCGACTGTCCAGACAGCCACCGCTGGGGTCAGAGGACCCCTGGAGGGAGGCTGCCTGGCCCTCAGTCGCAGATGGACGGCTTGCTGACATTGTAACTGGGCTGGAAGTTGAAACGGTCATAGGAGGTGATGCAGTTGCCTGCACCTGTCACGATGCTCTTCTCCATGTACACGTTTAGAGTATTGTTCCGGAACATTCCACCAGCTGCAAGCCGTCTGGAAAATTTATTCGAATTTGCATAAAATACCTTCTGGAAGGGAAAAGGGAATATGATTATGCATGATAATACTCATAAGCAGTAAGTCATTAGGTGTCTTTGAAAGGAAAATAAGAATTTGTAAGAAAATGTCTCTATTGCCAGGAAGCAGAGAAGCCAGGGCAGGCAGGGTGGCCTGGTTCACCCCAGACCATCCCAATTTAAGCCTGATGTCCGGGAATAATTATCAGTGGTGGCTCCTTCCACTGTTACACAGAAGGGCCAGTCACGGGGCCAACTGAGCGCGGTTACAAGCCTTGACCTAGGGGTCCGGCCCAAAGCTGCCCCCAGTTCTGCTTTTACCAACTGTGCTACTGGGGCAGTTACTGGGCCTTTAATTGCCTCAAAAGTGGCTGCCTTCAGCTGTAAGAGTGTGTGCGTGTGTGTGTGTACGTGTATGGGGCCAGTCCTTCAGGGGTATCGTAAATCTATATGTGCCTTTTCATCCTGTAAAACGTTTTGTTGCTAGATTCGCTCATTTCTACCCTCCCTTCAGGATCCAAGGTGGCCCTCCCTCCCGGCGATGCCGGAACTTCGGGCCCCTTCCCGTCTCACTCTTGTGAGGAACCCAGGAGTCAGCCTCCTATGGGGACACCTCCCCCCTGCACACACTGCTCCCCACTTCCCGCTTACCGGCATCTCATGCACGGTGGGGGCCCTGCTCCCATAAGTTTGGTTGCTGGTCCTGTACACCGAGGCAGGCTCGTTGGTCCTGACAGGTGAGAAACTGACTCTACTTTCTGTCCATTTACTCTAACTCTGCCCAAGCCACAGCCATAAAGGGCGCCCTAGGTTGGTGAGGCGGCCGTGAACGTGGGCTCTGGGGGATGGGGGCACAGGCTTGCCGCCCAGGCCTCCCAGCTCTCTTCTGCCCTAGCCCTTTGCAAGGCAGGCCAAAGCCCTAAAGAATTTCCAGGTGGCAAGTGCTGGTCCTCAGCATCAGCTCTGCCCTGGCACACGCTGTCATTTCTTAGGTAGGTGGGGGGACTGGAAGCTGTGGCTCAGCCTCTAGACCCCGCCACCCGGCAGGTGGGGGGGGGTCCCTCCACTTCGGAGCCTCCTGAGAAAAGACGCCTGCAGTCTCTAGGACTGACTCTACTGGCGGAGCTGTTGGGCTGAGTGACGTCCCAGCGCCACCTCATACTATGAGATCTCGAGTAAGACACGGTCTTTCTGCCACCCCAGGCGTGTCTCCTGGAAAATGATAGTAATAGACCCGACCTGGGATTGTAGGGGGCATTGAAGGCAGGGGGACAGGGGAGGTGCGCACACCTTCACATCTCTGCCCAGGTGTGATGCAGGGTATAGAGTTTGCGATGCACTGTGACAGCTCACAGGTCACTGACTCAGCCTGATGATGGAGGTGTGGCATGATTCACTTTGCAGAGGTGTCCCTAGAGAGGAGTGGAGACTTACCGCCCACCACCATCACCACCACAGGTTTTGTGACTTACCCTGGGATCAGGTACTGTCCCACCTGCACTGGCTGGAGGCCCACTGATGTGCATCTAAAGCTTCAGGTGGCATTGTCACAGCCCCTTTGGTGGTTAAAAGTTGACCTTGCTTTTGACTTGAGTGACAGGGTAGGCTGGGGACCTGGGGACTCTTGCATACAAGATTATCTGAGCAGAGCGCTGGAAGAGCCAGCCTCTCTTTCCTCCACGCTTCCCAGGTGGACCCTGCGGGGACTCCATCGTCCTCACCTGTACTCCTCACCTGTAGCCCCGGAACCATGCTGGGTTGTTGAACCTGACCGGTAGGTCCTCGGCTACGCGGTAGTAGTCGCTGGTTTTCTCCGGGGGAGCCTGGGCCGCGGGCTCCACAGGCTTCGCGCACTCTTGGGGATCCTCCTCGGACATCCCGCCGTCCACCGCAGCTGCGCAGGCAAGACAGACAAGGTGGGGTACAGCTTCTCAGCAGCCCGTGCTGCTAGGGTCGCGCGGCGTCCTGTTGCTAAGCGACGGCCTGGTCACCCGACCGGGTGGGTCGAGTCCTTAAAGGCGCCGCGTCTTTCTGACCTGCGGGGTCGAAAAGCGAGGTTTAGAACCTTCGCGGCGAGAAGCCAGGGCCCGGGCTGGCGGGGACAACAAGGCATCGATCACTTACCGGGGTTGTAGTGCTAAACGGGCAATCAGCCCACGCAGAACACGACCCGACATTGTCTCAAATGCCGGAGAAGGCGGATTTCTGCGCAAATGCAACGCGGATGCCGAGACTTCACCGCGAACTGAGTAAGTTCTGCAAGGCCTCTGGGCACGCGAGGACCTGATGCTCACCGTGCACGCCAAGGGCGCTCAGGGACCCCGTGATTTCGTGCACTCCCCCCCTCCGAGTCTGCATATAGACCCCAGATTTGCATAAATTTATGTAATCCTTCTAAGACAAGTACTGTTAAAATTAAAGCGATTTTGGACAGCGAGAGGTTGGATCAGACTGGCCGGAGGTGAGGAGGGTCCCATGGCCCAGCTGGTTCCCACGGGGACGGTTTATGAGCCCCTCGGCCAGCGAGCGCCGCGCAGGGAGAGGGGGAGCTAGAAGGCGAGGGGCCGCCCCCAACGCCCCGGCCCACGCCTCCGTGCTCGAGAGTCCGCGGTG